CGCATCACTAAAACAAAAGCGCATTGAATTTGTAACTTTTTGGATTTGAACCACGTCCATCGGAAATATGATAGGTCTGTTCTAGTTCTTTAAAAATATGTTGAAAACTGACCTAGTCCTAGATGACCAGTGGTAAGTTGAAAAGTTTTACGCAACGCATAATTTGATATTCAACTTATTCACTGGATCTCGGACGGTTTGCAGTACATTTTGAAGAAACCAGAACAAGCCTGATGTCCTATGCCAGTCACAACTTAGAAATGAAGGGGAAAAAAGCACCCGCCGGAAAACGGAAAAAAGAATAAAAATTAATTGTGAATCTGTTTTTCAGAAAGATGCGTTTTTTCTCTGGGATTTAGCAGGGAGGCGTCATCTTTTTTTTCAGGTTGGGATATAGGACATGAATTTTTGGGAGGTAAGGCGGAACGCGATATTTCCAAACCTAATGGACTTTCTTATGGGCTTATAATACAAGGCTGTGATTGGTTGAATTTTTGGCGCGACTATTTAAAATAATTGGAACTGTGTTGTTCACTTGAGAAAGATATAACTTAATATGGCGATGTTCTTATTAGTTTTAAGAAAAAAGTTATTCTTGATGAAATGTCCTCTTGCATCACTTATAAATTAATAATCAAAATTAAAATTTGTAAATTATTTGGTAAGATACAGGAAACATAGAAGGTAATGATTTACGCTGAAGTGTAAGTACTTTCAAATTTCAATATAGAGCAAAATATTGATAGGAAAATAGGAATTTAAAAATAACTTAAGTTTAAATCATATTGCACTTCTTTTTAAGTGATTTCGATTCAAAGAAATAATTCGAAACCAACGCTAAAGTGTACATAGGAAATTTTAATAATTTCCCATGTGATGCAGAACTTTTTATAAAAATATTTTTTACTTTCCTGTTTGTATACAGATAAGGAAAGTATAGGAAACATGATTTTTCAGCCCTTAGTTTTCGACAAATTTTACGTTTTGGAGTATTCTGAATCATTTTGACTATTTTCAAGATGTCTGTCTGCCTGTATACTCGATAACTAATGAAGGGATAAAGATAAAATTACCAAATTTTAAATTTAATCTACCCTGCGGTGAGATAATTAGATTTTGGATATAGTCAGAACATCTAGCCGCTATTTTATAGAGAGTAGTTTTTCTACTTTATTAACAGACTTCAAAAAAGGAGGAGGTTCTCAATTATTCGTCATTTTTTTTTAAATATATCTGTTATTAAAGCTTGGAGAAGAAAATTCTTTAAATAAAAATTATTTGTGCTATTATTCTCTATTTTTTTTACCTTATATATAATTTTCCTAAAATGGTCCTTATTCGAGAAATTTGACAAAGTGCAAATTTCGAATTTCAGTTCAAAAACCGATAAAAAGAAAAACTCCAAATATAAAAAAATGTTTCGTAAGATGTGTGTGGAAAGTATATGTTCATTCTCTAAACATTTGTAGGATTGTAACAAATAATAGGAAAGCCTATAATAACTAGAGAGGAAAGTCATGTGTTGGACATAATGTATATAATGACATTATTTATTTCCCTCAAGAAAAACAAAATAAAACAACAAATTTACTTATTTAAACAACAAATTTATTAAATAAAAAAATTCCTCAGAGCGTAAAACACAATTAACTTTCAATTATAATTAATTAAAATATACATCAAATCATGAAAAATATATAAAATGCAGTGAAAAAAATAATAAATTTTTAAGAAATCATTTAAAGTAGATCACCAAGTCTATGATCCAGAATGTTACAAAAGAATTATAAACATTGAGGCTAGAAATTTTTTTTGGAAATGTTGAATCCATGATAGTTTTATTTCCCGAGGCTAATATTATTTTCTACACAAAAACTTAAACTGTGTGGAGCAGCTTTCATTCTTTTATTTGAAGACTCTTTTGTGTAATTATGTTCTGAGGGACGAGCACTCTTTGGGGGCCTTCCGCTTTGCTGCATGTGTCTTCCCCCCAAATGTACCTTTCGTCTTGCAACTGCAGTTGGTTGAACAGGTATAACTTTTCCCCCTTGAACATTTTTTCCTTTTTTTATTAAAGGAGCAACTGTACAAGAATTAGTACCAAAGGTGTGCAAAGCAGATAATTTAGATGAAGTGCTTTTACATTTATTGTACGAATTGCAAAACTTATCAAATGCAGGCAAGTACTCTATGGGATTTGCATCTAATAAATTGTTAAATTCATTAAATATGTCCTCCAATTTTACTTTTACAGCTTCCTTATTATATTCTGAGTCTTCATCTGTTTGATTGGTAGTAGGTAAATTATTACTAATATCATCATCAGTAATTCCAGATAGACCTTCTGATTGTAGTGTATCAGATCCTAGTACTGGTACATCTAACTTTCTATGAAGTGGATTGTACCAAACCTCATTAAAATCTGTATTACCAGTTAGTATTCTGTGCAAAAGTACTTTTGTTTGCTTATTCGGTTTCAGCAATACATTTATTGTTGCAGTATTTTCACTTTTTGTGATTAAATATTGATGTTTGCATGGAGCACCTTGTATTCCCACAGGACATGAGCATACATAATTCTGAATATTCACAAAATATTCCTTTTTATTTACATCATTTCTAACACTATAACTATTATGACTAATTTTTTCATATGATAAATTTACAATTTTAGAATCGGGTATATAATATTTTGATTTTGTATATCCCTCGTATCTATCATTTAAAATATCCGTAAGTCTTCTTTTGTAATAATCTACAAGTTGAACTGTTAAAAAACTAAATAATTGAACTACACTAAAAGCTTTTGTGCGCTTTAAAACAATGTCTTTCAGTATTCTAAAATTAGCTTCTGAATAATTGTTTGTGTCATTTCCTCTTGTAATTAAAGCAGTTCTATAACATAATGCCCATTCTTCAGCTCTTGATTGCATCTTTAAAAAATATTTAAGTGCAAAATCATATTTTTTTATTACAGGGTAATCTAAGACGTTTTTATAATAATTTGTGAACGTATCACAATTAGTTATATTCATTAACTCTTGGAAAATTGTAAATATTTCCTTGCGATCACTTTGTAATATTTTATGTTTTGAATCCCAAAAGTATCTCATAGCTGCTTGGAGTACGTGAAACTTACACAAAAGTAGCTGTGAATTGGGAAAGCATGTACGGAGGGCATTTCTTTCAGCAGAACTATCATCTGTGATAATTATTTTTGGATATCCACATCCAAAAAATGCCCCTTCGGGAAATAATGATTTCAGGCAATTAAAAGAGTCTGTCAAAACATTTTCAGCCTCAGAAAATGTAATAATTACTCCCAAAGGAAGTGCTCCAGCAACTGAAGGACAAAGCAAACAAAATACCCTTGAACTATGCCGATCCATGTTACCACTAGAATCAATAAACACAATTTCTCCTGAGGTAGACAGATGTTCATGAATTCTTTTCATAAAGGGATCACATATAGTAATAATAAAATGGCCATCCTTGGACAGCCAACTTGCACAATTTGATCCACATTTTTCATTATATGTTTTTATCAACTCGATAAGTTTCTGCACCATACCATCTCCACAACTTTCACCATATTCCTTTTTAAATAATGAATAATAAAGGTCATATACCCATTTTCTCGTAGGACAAACTGAACCATTTGCTGCTATTTTGTAATACTCACTTCCATGCTTGCACTGCAGCTCAAATTTATAAGCTTGCCAAGCTGAAGATGGAGAATGCCCTTTATTGAATAAATCATGGAATATGTTTACAATTTCCTCTTTGGGTTTTAAGAATTTAAAAGTTGCCGCTGATTTTAGTTCATGATTATGTGTGTGCAATAAAAATATTTCACAAGGCCTCGTTGCCAGGTCAATGTCTCCACTCCTAAAAAACAAACTTGATTAGTGTTTCTAAATAAAATAAATTTATGTAACCTAAATTGAATTTACAATATATTAATCTTAACACTCACTTTTTCAATTGTCGTTTTACAGTTATTCTCAATTTTGCAGAGCAATTAGTGTGTTTTTCATGTGGGTTAGATTTTTTCTTGGGCAAAGTGTTGTGATGGCATCTATAATCTTTCTTAAAAATTATTCTCGGTGTGTCTTCTGTATAAGTCACATAGGATCGCCATGAAGTCATGGTTGCTTCTTCAAAAGCCTTTAACCACTCTAAAGCCTTGGATTTCGAATCTATAGGAATTCTGAGTGTACATTCAAACGTACTATTCGTGAGATCGGCATATTTAACTACTTTCGTATCATATTCCTCGGGTAAAACACTACGCAACTAAAAAAACAATATCTAATTAAATTTAAAAAATAGAGTTAAAACTAAATAATATAATGTAATGCTACTTACATAAGCACAATCCTCGTCGCCTACTGCTGATCGCAAATTCGATTCAAATATAATAACCATTTTAATTTAGCAATTTAACAAAATACGTACATAAACACTTTTTCACAATTTTCAGATTTTCACCGAAAGCACAGATTCCGAAAGTGCAAGCAGAGACAACATTAGTTGTCTCTGGTGCAAGTGTAAATTGTAGGTTATGTAAATTTGAGTTTGACAGCCAACGAATTTCTATTTCAACCAATCACATCTTTGTATTATAAGCCCATAAGAAAGTCCATTAGGTTTAGAAATATCGCAGGCGGAACATCTTTTTTTGTTTTTTAAGGGTCGAGACGTATTTGGAAAGGAGGGTGGCGACCCATGTCCCTCACTCACGGCTGCCACTGCGCTGAGCCACCTGCTCGCTATTTTACTAGGCCTACTGGCAACAGGCCAGTAAGACCAGAGAACTACATATACGCCATGTTACAGGCAGGGAAAACAAAAAAGAAGCATAGCAGTTTCAATTTTCATGTGTCAAAGAAAGAATTGACACTTGGTGGTATATGTAATAAGGTTATTTTGGTGATTTTAGATTATTTAAGTAAATATATAAGATAAATTTCAATTATTTTGAACAACGCTATAGCAAAATGTTAATGAGACCCTCTCTAAATAAAAAATTGCTTCAGAATAAAGTTGTCAGTTTGGATTTAATAAAAACGGCTTTGTATAACCAACAAGTACCTGCGGTTCAAAATGCTCCAGAAGATTATGAAAAACAGCTAAAAGTGTTTCAAACATTAACAAACGTAACTAAAAGAACTCGCATTAAAAAACCACACAAACCGCCGTTTGTTAAAAATTTTCTTTTGGGTAAATTTGATACTGATATTCTAACTTATCCTGAATTAAATAAAGAAGACACAAAAAACTTGGAAGAAAATGTAAAGTTAGTAAAAAAATTAATGAAACAAAGTCATATATCTCAGTCTATGTCAATCTCAAAACAATTCAGGCAAAATCTTTCAGACTTTAGAGTTATAGGACTCCAAGCTCCTCAGCTAATGGATGGTCTAGAATGCAATGTAACTGAAAGTAGCATGTTTATAGAGGCATTATCAGAAAGCAATTTGAGAAACGGTATTGTTAATAATGAGCAGTTAGGAGTTCAAATTTTAAATACATTCGCAAATGAACAGTTAAAAATTAAATACCTTACTCAGCTAATGAGTGGTGAAATATTGTCTGCAACATGTCTCACTGAGTCTACTGCCACAGACTTAAATTCTTTTAAAACCAAAGCAGTGTTGTCTTCAGATGAAAAAAGTTGGGTAAGATTTTGTCTTTGATAAATCTAAACATTTTATTAACATGGAAACTATTTTTAGATTCTAAATGGGACAAAAAATTTTGTAGTCAATGGAAAATCTGCAGATATTTTTGTTGTTTTTGCTGTAACCAAAGTTATTTCAAGAGATATTATAAAGGATACTAAATTAACAGCTTTTTTGGTTGATAAAGATTCTCCTGGCATAACAGTTAAAGATGTTAATAGTCAAGGAATAGAAGTTGTTGATGTAACGTTTAATGATACTCTTGTTTCATCAGGTAAGGTTTTATAAAAATAAGTAGGTAGGGAAATTATTACAGAAAAGATGTCTCATGTAAATTAACAAAAAGTAATTGACAATAATAATTAACCCTAGATTGCTAGTGTATGTACATTTAATATGTATCTTTTCAAAAATCCTACTTATCTCCATAATTTCTGCTTATATCGCATCGACGATTAAGACATGCTTTCCTTAGCCTGTTGACTTAATATTGTTAAAAGCATGTCGATGTACAGTAGCTCTAAGAGACGTTTTTGTTACTTTTATAATAATTCCTATGTACGTCTAATTCACTTATATCTGGACTATAAGCCACTGACTTGAAACAATTTTTATAGAGTGGGAGGAAATTAACAACAATTTACATCCAACACTAGGTATCCAAGAAGGGATATTTTTTCTACACACACATCTAAATTATCTATTTTCTGCACAAGCTACATATCCATTCTAGAAAAAGAAACATTTTTATTTTAAAAATATCAATTCAAAATTTTATAATTTTGTTTTTTTTTGAATATTGGTCATGCTTTATCTTCTTTTTATTATTTTTAGAAAATATAATAGGAGAAGTACATAATGGTCATACATTGTTAAGATCTGTGACATCAGAACATAGACTTAGTGTAGCACCTATGTGTATAACAGTAACCAAAAATATTTTAAATAATCTGGTAACAGAAATTAGGAATAATTCTGATGAAAATAATTTATTACACGAGATAGATGATGTTAGGGAAAATATTGGTGAGGTAAATATGATTCAAGAATTTATTAGAAAATCTAATACACTTTATTACTAATCAGACAATGTTTATTTTTTTAACAGATGGCTGCATCTCTTTATGGTATGGAAAGTGCTACCTATTTAACAACTGGATTGGTAGACAATTATACTGAGCAAGATATAGAAGTAGAATCAATAATTTCCAAAGTAAGTCATAATTGTTTTTAATAACAAAAATAAACTACAATTATTTATTTTATTTGTAGGTATTTGCCTCGGAACAAACCATGAATTGTGCTACAAAATCATTAAGCATGATAGGCTTAAATGGACTATTAGATTCGCATTGGTTAAATCCCCTGTATCAAGAAGCAATAAGATTTAAAACATTAAATGAACCTGATAATGGTCTGAAAATTATTTTATCATTACTATGTCTTCAACATGCAGGTGTGAGTATTAATTTGAAACAAAAGTATATCATAAGAATTATATTCCCTATTAGTCTATTTGAAACAAAAACCCATAAAATTTTAAGTTTTCATGCATTTATATCAGTGTCGGATTGGGACCTCTAGGGCCTACCTATCAATACAATTTTTTTTTAATTTTCTTGTGGAAAAATGTTGCTTTCTACTGACATATTTTTTCAAAGTATATTGTAGACCAGCTGATACATGTCTGTTCTGCTGGGAACACGATAAATTTTGATTGTGGAACCTAGACATGCATTATGAATAAAAATTTCAAGTAGATAATGCAAATAAATTCCAAAATTAAATTGTAAAGATTGTTTATAATGTGAGTAATGTCATTATGAACTTTATCTTTTTTCATTGCTTCTACTTTTTTTTTATATTTCTCAGTGATATCCCAACTTTTATATTCATTAGCCGCAGGTAAATTTGCTGTTTTCAGTTTTACAATTTTACGAGTTTTCTTAGTAATTTTCCATGAAAATTCATTTTCATTGCCAAAATAATTGCCTTCATCTGTCATCTGTATCTTCATCTAATGCAATAGGAATGTTAAAAAATCGCAATATGGTGAATGGGTTATAAAATACTGTCCTAATCTAAAGTGTAAAAGTAACAATCAATGTCATAGATTATGATGATAAAGAAGAATATAACAATAACAGTTATCTTTTTAAGCATGGTGTTACAATTGAACATGAAAATGTGAATAATAAATTATGCATTCATTTAGCAATTGAATTAGGCTATAAACGACAAAAGTTATGATTTTTGCAGTTTGTCCAAATTTTTTGACTTTTCTTTGTAATTGTGCTGAATTTTTTTTCTTGAATACTTGTCCAGGACCTGAACAAATTAAACAAAAAAGAATTACAAATATCCATCTTTCGATTCGTAAGTAAAAAAAAAAATAAAATCGCATTGAAAAAAGCACTTTTAGGTTTTCCCGAATTTTTCAATTTTTCGAGCAATTTTTTAAATGTTTCTTTCCCTAAAAACCTTATACAGACTTTTACATTTAAAAACTGAATCAACCAAATCGGTCCAGCCATTCTCAAATAATAATAATAATAATGATGTTTTATTTGACTCAAATTATACATTTTTTTATAATTTTGGACAAAATAAATTTATAGCCAAAAGGCAGAGTTTAGTTTCTCTTATGCTGCAGCAATACTAGAACCTGTTCTTTCACTCAACCGGTAAAACTAAAACTAACTAGAATATTTCAAAAAAAAGTAAAAATACCAAAAAGTACTTACATAAGTAAATAATATTAATAAACCGTAAGAAGGGTAACCTATTATAATAATATTAGAAGAGTGTACCATTTATTAAATCTCGTTTTACATAATTTTTTAACCTAATATGTATTGTTTAAACTGAGATAATGCATGGGTAGCCTATTAAGAAGCCAAGATCCCTGAAATAGATGAGTTTTGTGAAGTGGTGGTGTGAGTTTGGATTTAAACCGTATGTTTATATTATGTACATCACATCGAAAAGATATTTTATTATATAAGTAAGGAGGTGTTGCAGAATTTAAAATATGTTGGAAGAGCGAGCATGCATGTAATGCTCGTCTCTCAGCCATATTAAGCCAGCTTAATTCTTTTAAATGAGCGTAAACACGATCTCTTCTGTTCAATCCACAAACAAAACGTACACATGAATTTTGAATTTTTGCAACCTTTTTTATCACTGTTTAATAAGCATGGTCCGTAAATTACGTCTCCGTAGTTTGCATGTGATAAAACCACTGAGTCGCACAGCATTATTTTAGTTTTTTTTATTAAGTAAACTCTTATTAGAGTATAATAATTTTAAACTGCAATAAGACCTTTTTGTAATGATTAATATATGGGATGAAAATCGTAGTGAGTTGTCAATATGTATACCTAGGTTTTTTGCAGAGGAATGCAGCATTAGGAGATCTCCATTTAAGGTAATATTTACATTATTAACGTTACGTTTTCTTGCAACAGGTTGGCCAAAGAGTTGAACTATTGATTTAGAGGGATTTATGCGTAGACAGTGCTTATCAGATAAATGAAGGAGTGACAAAATGTCATCATTAATCTTATTACAAGCATCCTGAATATTTTTCTCTTCAAAAGAGTAATAGAGCTGCGTATCATCTGCATAAGTATGAATCTGACAGTTTTGAAGAGCAGATGGTAATTGAGAAGCATACATGACAAATAAAAGTGGACCTAGTATTGACCCCTGGGAAACACCAGAATTAATAAAAGAAAAATCAAACGAGTTTTGTTTTATGACAGTTGCCTGGTATCGATTATTTAGATAACTTTTGAAGAAATTAATAGAATTATATGTAAATCCAAAAAAGTGCAAGAGAGCCAAAAGAAGTGAATGATTAATGAGGTAAAAAGCTTTTGAGTAATCAAGAACAATTAAAATGGTCAACAGATTATTATCACATACTCTGTGAATGTCATCAGTAACTTTAAGTAATGCTGTGGTACAGCTAAAGCCACTGCAAAAACCAGACTGACTCGAAGGAAGTAGATCATGAGTGCATAAATATTTTCTAATTTATCTAGAATTTTTTCAAATACTTTGGATATGCAACATAAAACGCTTATGGGTCGTAGATCAGAAAATGTCTCAGGAGATAATATCTTGGGAAGAGGAATGACATATGATTTCTTCCAAAGGTCAGGAAAACAAGCGCTTATTAGAATAAAATTAAATATATGAGTTATGTAAGGGATAATTAAAGGACAACAATATAATAATATCTTGATATTAATTTTGTCCACACCCACGGCTTGTGTTTTTATTGATAACGTTTGTTTGTAACATTCCTCATCGGATATACATATGACTGAATGAAAAATTTCCTTCGTTTAGAATTGTAGTGTTTTGATAAAATTGTAGTAGATCATCATCAGGTACTTTATTAGAATTAGTAATGTTAATGAAGTATTTATTAATTTCTTGAACATTGCATAAATTCTCAGGTATATCTGTTACTGGTTTACTGTGTACATCAAGTTTTTTTAATTCCTTCCAGATGTTGTTACGCTTTTGATTTCGAATTTGAAATTCAAGATAAGCTTTTTTCTCTAATCTAATAGTTTTGTTGTATCTAACGGTATCATCATGTTAGCCTATCATTGATCATTGATCGATATCTGTTTTATTAATTTATTTATTTATATTTATTTATAATGAAGATACGAAGACATTTTTAAGTTGTACGACTATATTTTAAAATTATTCTTAAATATACAGGAAAGTTCATAAATGAGTGGTGGAAAAATTTATACTGGTTTAAAATAAAACCTCCTTGTATTACAAAATTTGTCTTCACATCGTCAAACAATTTTTATAGACTTAACGTTTCTATCTATTCATTTGCTACGATGTATATAGGGTGTGTCAAAACACAAGATTACTATTTTCCTATTTTTTTTTTCAAATGAAATACCCTGTATGTTACACCACAAATTTAATTGACTAATAATTTAGTTTCTTTACTTCGTATTGTTTGACATTCTTAAGCCTTAACTGATTTTTAAATTTTATTTACAATGGTTCATATTATGTCGAAGGAATAGAAAACCATTCATTAATTCTAAGAAATCGGTTACCAAAAATTACATTAACATTTTTCTCTGAATAAATCCATATTTTCAAAAGCCAATTAGAAAAATGTCAAAAAATTTGTCAATTTTCATAGTAAAACTATCAAAATCTTGAGAAAAAATTCGTTTAGAAATTCATTTTTATAAATTGGTAGTATAATGCACAGGATATATTTCAAAAAATTGAGAATATTGTAACCTTAAGTTTAGACACACTCTGTATACATCACAGCATATAAATGAAAATGTTGAAAAATTTTAAAAACGTTTAGTCTATTAAAATTATAAAACGATGTGAAAACAACCAAATCTGTAAGGCGTAACTACCTACAGGGTGTTTGGTTTAAAAAAACTGTTTGGTTTAAAAAACGCTTTTCCCTTCATTTATAGACTACCTTTCATATTTAAGAAAAGTTGTAAAATATGGTCTTACAATTTTTACATTAAACATTTCTTCATATCTACAATAATAAAATATCTATCTATCAATTACCCACTGATGGGGCACCCTGTATATTTATAATTAAAATACTGTATAAAATGAACCAATTCTTTCATCACAGCTTGGTCCTTATTAGTTGAAAAATATTCTAGTGATTAATACAGTATTATCATGCCACTCTAAAACTGAAATAAAATACAGGGTGTTCCATTTAAAAACATGTTTTTACTTTCCAGGCAAAACCGTAACACTCTGTGTATCCAAAAATGTTTTTAAATTATATTTTTTTCTTCAAATCCACGTAACTTTTATTCAAAACATGTGTCTATAATGCAAATTGAAATATCAAGCAATTATGCATTAATGGAACAGCCTGTATAGAACTACGACCAGAGTTTTTTCATCCTTTCAGACTTTCTTTTAAACTACTCTTGATTATTTTTGACTCCCTGCCTTGAATGGTCCAGCCTTCCCTACAAGATTTTGACATGGTGGCTGCAGCTTCATTGGCTAATTGTACCACCATTTGGATACCCTACTTCTTTCGATTTATTAATTCCTCATTTATTCCACTCCCTAAGCTTCCGAGAACTTATAGTCTTGGGTCAACCATTCAGAAGTGCTTGATCGATAAATGAATTTATAGGTACACCGTCAGCCAGCGACCCGGTATTTTACTTCTTTGACATTAGTACTTGATATCCTATAGAGGTCTATATTCTTTTCTCTTTTTGTGTTAACTTCTGTCTGTATTTATAATTACCCCTGTATATATAATAGCTACGCCCCAGAATACATTTTTAGATTTTCATTGTGTATGGCCCATGACGTTAATGAACGTCCAAACTTGTAAAAGTTTGTAAACCGATGGGCCAGAGTGTGTAGTTGACGTTAAAACTTGGGCAGCGAAAGCGTTAATTAAA